GAGGTTGCTGTGAGCTGTGATGCCACAGCACTCTACCGAGGGCAACAATGTGCAACTCTGTCTCAAAAAAAAAAAAGTGGCATCTGAAAATATATATAATTACCATGTATTAATTAAAGTACAGAAATAAATAAAAATCAATGTGTTATTTAAAAGGTGGCACCTGAATATTTGTATATTCTGGAAAATTTACAAATGTATAATGGAGATAGTTCTCACAAATGTATAAACCTCTTAGTTTTCCTGCCAATGCAATGTAGATTATCTTCATTAACACATTTACCCTGGTATCCTGCGACTTAGGCAATACAGTGTACACTTTTCTATAAACACAACCCCTCACATTTTTAGCAGACAACCAAGCAGATTTCAAGGTCCTACGTTCTCCACTGTTGCAACTATTCTTCTCTGCCCTGATTTCTCCTATTTCTGCGAATCCCAAGTCTTCCTCAGCTTCATGCCAATGAAGCTGCTGTGTTCATGAATAAGCCTGCAGCCCTGGGGACCGGTGAAATCCACTATGTTGTCAGTTTCCCTCAATTTTGGCCTGAGCCCACGAAAAGAGCAACTGCTTTGAGGTTTGAGATTCTCTAGTGACTCAGCTCTTTAATTCCCAGAGCTCTGTCCATATACCGTCCTCAATTTCATCTTCTAGACAATGCCAGATGTAGGTCAAGTCTTCAAAGATGACCTAAGCAAGATTCAAAATCCTAAAATCCTCCATTAGCCAGCTACCAGCTGCAACAGCCCTATTGGGGTCCTGAGGGAGAAACACAGGGCAGAGGCTTCAGGCAAAGCTGTTCTTTAAAACTGGTGCCATGAGGATTATCCAGAGCCTCCTGCTGGTGGAGGACACCTTACCCCTCTTATGGGGGCTCATGGGGAAGGACTCCTGGGACAGGAGACAGGGCAGGCTAGGGCAGGCTGGGGCAGGCTGCTGCACATCCCTGCCTCTTGTCTAGGCAAAGTGGATGGTTCACACATGCTGACTAATTCAGTCCACTAAGAAAGGAAGCCATGATGAGTGTGGGCTAAAACCTCAGGAATAGAAATCACCTCAATTTTTTAATAAGGATATACTTTTTAATGTCTCTCCTCCTTCTCACCCTCCACTCCCTTCTTCTGTCTCCTCCTCTTCTTCTTTTCTGTTTCAAAATAATTATAGACTCACAAAAAAATTACAAAAATAGTATAGAGATGTCTTGTGTACCCTTCCCCTACTCTTCCCAATGGTAACATATTACCTACTATGGTTCATTATCAAAATGAGAGGAGTCAGTGCACATTTTTCTCAGGGCATTGGGCTGCAGTAGGTAGATTTGGTATTTTAGATGCCAGAAATATGTTTATATCTATCATAACTGAGGAAATAGGCTCATGGTTTTCAAAGGGCTGCCCTTTGGAAAGGGAGAGCTTTGAGTCCACCCAAGTCAATTTTTGTGGGGCAAGTCTGTGGTTTGCTGGTCTAGTTTGTTTGCAAAGGGCTGAGAATTGTTGGATAAGCAATAAATTGAAATGTCTCTATAGAGAATGGATGTTGGCTCGGCGCCTATAGCTCAACCAGCTAAGGCACCAGCCACGTACACCTAAGGTGGTGGGTTCGAATCCCCAGCCCAGACCCGCCAAACAACAATGACGGCTGCAACCAAAAAATAGCTGGGCGTTGTGGCGGGCACCTGTGGTCCCAGCTACTTGGGAGGCGGAGGCAAGAGACTCGCTTGAGCCCAGGAGTTGGAGGTTGCTGTGAGCTGTAATGCCACGGCACTCTACCCAGCTTGAGGCTCTGTCTCAAAAAAAAAAAAAAAAAAAGAGAGAATGGATGTTGAAGGATAATCCAGAGACATAAGCCTTTAGCAGGGAGAGCCAAAAGGCCAGCACAGTTGATTATTGGAGAATTTATTTGGGTAGTTTTTTTTTTTTTTTTTGAGACAGGATCTTACCCTGTTCCCAGGCTAGAGTGCAGTGGCATCATGATAGCTCACAGCAACCTCAAACTCCTGGTCTTAAGCAATCCTCTTGCCTCAGCCTCCCTAATAGCTAGGACTTCAAACATGCTCCATGATGCTCAGCTAATATTTTTAATTTATGGAATGATGGAATCTCCCTATGTTGCCCATGCTGGTCTGGAACTCCTGGACTCAAGCAATGCTCCCACCTTGGCCTCACAAACCTCCAGGATTATAGGCATGAGTCTAGAGAGTTTTCAATAAGAGACATTTCTCACATAAATGGGTTTCTTAATTAAATCAGATTTAATTGATGAAAAATATCATTTAAATGGAGGAAACACAGATACTCTAGGCCCTGAGAGTCATCAACTTATTTAATGAATCAAGTCCCTTCTGAAGAGATATACTATTCTCTTTCCAGAAGGTGGGCATAGAAGTACAGGGACTCAACTGTACATCTTAAAATATACATTTCTGCCTGCTTTTAACAGAGACACAAATGACAGTGGTTTAAATAAGATAGAAAAATTTTCTTACCCTTAGATCCAGGTTCTACCATCCCCCATCCCATGTGACAAAGGGCCTGAAAAATCAAAGTCATAGGCCTCCCCACAGAGTACTCATCATTTCCTCTAAACTATATCCTAGGTACTTAGGACCCCTGACTTTCTGACACAAATTGTCCCAAGCCAGCTCCCAATATTGCGGGGGCCTCCTCCTGGGACCATCCTCCCAAAGGCATGACTTGCCTCTGTTGCACATACTGTCAGGCCTCAGGATAACCAAAAGGTGGGTGTTTTCAGAGAAGCGTATGGAGCTGGACCTTGGAGGAGACTTGTATTTTCAGGAAAAGAAGTAGGGTAGACTGCAAGTAAGGGACCTAGCACTGGCTTTCCTCACTCTGCCACCTTCTGCCATGGAACTATGGGGGTCCCAGACTTCTAAATTCAGGCCTGGGTGTCTTAGACTAGATTCCCCCAGAAAATAGATTCTAAGATTTGCATACAGAAGGTTTAAGGAGAGTGCTTGGGATAAGCACCTTTAAGGACTGAGAAAGTCAGTCCAGATCAGGGAAAGAGAAATTTAACTGTCCTGAAGCTGTAAAATAGGACTTAGCCCATCCCATGGGTGGGGAGGCCTCTGGCACTGGGATTGTTATCCAGGCTTGAGGCAAGCCTGGGACTGAGACTTTGTATGCCCCTATCTACCAGTTAAGGGATGTGGGCTGCCTGGGAAGAGAGGAGGTTTGACCTTGAGCAAAACATCTCTTTTCAGCTAAGGGAAATTCCTAGAGAAGAAGCTGTCCTAGCCAACACTTCTAGAAGCAGGAGAATGAGTGACTTGATCCTAAAGTCAGAATATGGGTGGCAGACAACAGTGCCTGCTACATTCACCTTTCAGGCCAATATGAAGGTATTTATCAAGACGAAAGATGAAACATATTTAATTTAATAATTTACTTATTTCACTTGCAACTTTTAAATCTCTAGTCCTATGGTATGTGAGCTTTCATTTGTACTATTACCCCAAGCTCAGCAAATATCAGGGTTAAGCCTGTCATTATCTCTCTTGTAATGTGGTCCAGACAGTGATAGTTCAAGACTGACGTGATAGCTTCATAATAAAAATCTGTAATCCAGGAGGCTTTCAGCTTTCTACTCTCACTACCCATAGGAAAGGGCCCTTGTTCTCACTATCTACTATTTTTATGGATTTTACTTTTTTTGTATTTAGAGAAAAAATACAAAATAAAGTAAAATATTTTTCTCTCTCTGTTGCCCAAGCTGGCTATAGCCTTGAACTCCTGGGCTCAAGTAATCCTTCTGCCTCAACCTTCCAAGTAGCTGGGACTACAGGCATGCACC